TCCGGAGACTCTCGTAGACCAGGCAATGTTGCCTGAGTGTCCGGAACCTAGTGTCCCCCAGGAGGTCCAATGCCTCCTTGCGGAAGTCCTCTCCCAGGATGTCCTGCATGTATGCGATGTGCTCCGCAAACGGGGCAAAGTGGGCGAGGAGCCGTTCCGCCCATTTCCCGCGCATATGGAGTTCCAGCGCTCGCTGGGTCGTGGGCTCCATTTCCCTTATTTTGCCCGGGCGCCAGTGCCTCCACTTCAGAAGCTCCGGTTGCTGGAGTGGGGGTGGGTCATCTCGTGAGAACCACCTCAATTGGTCCTGGCGGTCCCATTCATTCTCCAGCGGGGAAAAGTCCTCGCTCGGCTTGCCATCCGCCGTCGCCAGGAGGAGGAACCATAGGCTGTCCCACAGGTCGGCCAGGTCCGCCGCGGACAGAGGCTGGGGAAGCCTGCCTACCGCCGACGCCACCAGGCCGTTGAAGTAGTCCGTCGGGACCATGCGGTCGTCTTGTCCTACCGGAATGCCCGAGAGCTCCAGGAGATGAGAGAAGCGGACTGCCGGCTCTCCGCCCAGCTTCCTCCCCTCCTCCTCAGTGCCTTGGCGCAGGCACATCAGGACCAACAGCTCTCCGTCCGTCTGTCTCGGGGAGAAGGACTCATCGGCCAACGTGTCCCATAGGACCCTTGGAATGCGGTCCCAAAGACGTGTGTAAGGCGGGCGCATAAGAAACTTGGTAGATACCCTAGCCATGATGAAAAAGGGGGGTTTCGAGCCTCCTATCGAACCGCCGGGACCCAACCGCGGCACAATGCATGCATGCTCCAACCATGCAGAGTGCAGAGTGCAGAAGGAGCAGGCAGGCCACACGCATCCCGACAAGTCCCCCCCAAAGTCCCGAGATTTTAACCGGGAATGGGGGGGAGCGCGACCCAAAACCAACCCCCCAGAAACCCCCCAAAAGCACGGAGGGGGGAGACCGACCAGGCGGGGGATTCCCCAAAAGCCCCCAGAAAACCTCGGGGAAACCAAGAGTCGGCCGCAGCCAGGGTTGTGAGACAAAACCTAGCGGCTCCCTCCCTTCAGGATCGCCTCCTTCGCCACCGAGTGGATTGCCGCCAGCCCCGACTTCTCCGGGTTGCTCAGGATGACCGACCACAAGGCCGTGGAGACATCCCCCAGGCCGTTCGAGGAGCTGAAGCGCATGCGGGGGGTGCTCGCGTCGCCCAGGACCAGCCGCTCGTCCCTGGGAGGCTCCGTTGGCTCCACCCTCTTGTAGAACTCCATCCGATCGCGGATCCACTGATTGTACAGCTGCTCCGGGGGCTCGTCCATCACCAACTGCAAGCAGGTGGCCTTATCCCTGTGCCACCCCGTGATCTGGAGCAGCCTGGTCCCCCCGCGGCTCGCCTTCCAGAAGCCCTTGCAAAATCTGCACATATAGGCCCCCGTGGTCTTGAACTTTTCCTTGCTCACCACTTCCCAGGCACTGATGCTTGGCAAGACCAAGCCACACTCCACGGAGCCCCAAAACACATGCTTCGCCTCCTTGGAGAAGTGCTTGTTGATGTACTTTCGGCCCGCAACCGCCGTGACCGTGGTGATGGGCGGGTACCTCCTGGTGCCCTGGTCTGGGGTGCGGAGCGTGGTGTCTGCCCTTGCAAGGACCTTGGCCTTTGGGTCCGCCTCCTTGGCCGCTCCCCCCCCGGGGCCAACGGCACCCAAGGGGGGGGAACAACCCAGCTGCCGGATGGGAGTAGCCCAACCTGTCGTACAAGGCCCCCGCCACCTCCTGCGGGACCTGCTCGACCCAGTCGTGGACCACGTTGCAGCGCCAATTGACCTTGACCTCCACCATTGACGACTTGCTCAGGCCCGCCACCAACTTGGTGTAGACCGAGTCGAAGGCCCTCAGCGAGGCCAGCGGGAGGGTGATACGTTCGTCGCAAATTGCCCTGAACCGCATCGCCTCCTTACTGTCATGGATGGGGGCCACCGGCATCTCCATCACGGGCAGCGGGCAGTTCACAATGAAGTTCTTTGCCGCCAGGAATGTCCCCATCTCCTTAAAGATGAGCTCCACTCCTCCTTGCTGCGTGGCTTGGGGATGCCCAGGCTCTCCAGGAAGGGCACCGCCTCCTTCCTCATCTGGAGAATGTTGCCCATCCACTTGTCCGAGGTCGATCCCTCCGCATTGCGGCCCCGGCGTTGCGTCTTCACAATCAACGGGAAGGTGGTCCAGGCCAAGTAGATATACTTGAATGTGAACCTGTGGGCGTACACTCCCGTCAGGCTCGGCAGGCAGGTCCCACGTTCTCGTCTGTCGGGTCCAGAACACCCCATCACCCTTCGCCCAGAAGATACCCACCACCTGCTCAGGTGCCGGGCGCTCGCCCCGGTTCACCTGGGCTCGGATCTCCAAGGCCGTGTAGATGACTGGGTCGATGTGGTCCTGCTCGCACGTGAGTGGGTGAGTCCTGCGCTCAAGGGCCAGGAGCTCCTCCGGCGCGAGCTTAAACTGCTGGTCAGCGCCCCGGGGGATCTCACCGCTTGCGTGCTTCTTCCAAACCCCCCCAAACATCCGGAGCTCTCCCTGGTGCCGCTTCATTGCCCAGAGGATAAGGGACAACTTGCCCTCCTCAGAGTCCAGGTCTTGCTGCAACATGAGCTGGTCCCCCCCGGGGCCGGTGGCACCCTTGGGGGGGGCCGGTGCCTCCAGCTCGGGCATCTCCTCCAGCAGTGCCTCCTGGTGCCACGGGTTCTGCGACGCTCTGAGCGTCTTGATGTAGGGGACATACTTCTCCTTGATGTCCCCCACCGGGGGGATGTCGTGGGGGTCATCCAGCTCCAGGGGGCAGAACAGGCCCCTCTCCAGGGCCTTCCTGAGATCGTCCGGCCACGCCGACACTTCCAAGGGCTTGAGAGTGTGGTTGAGCATCCATGCCTGGTTCTTGTTTGCCGCCTGAGCCTCCTGAATGGAGCCCATCGCCTCAGCCAATGCCTGGCTGGCGTCAGCGCCCTTCCCCTCCAGGTACTGGTCTCTCAGCTTAGCCTTGAAACGCTCCAGGTTGACCTTTGAGGGCACGGGCTCCCTCGTTGGCCACCTCCTCTGACGGCAGGGCCTGCATGCCCCTTTCTGGAGGGGCGCCAGGATCGCCATCTCGTTGTCCAGCATCTCCTCCGTGACCAACTCCTTGTGCCGCCGCCTGGCCAAGGCCTCTTCCGGAGTCGGTTCCCGCTGCTCCCGCAAGGCCCTATGCAGCTCCTCCTTCTTCCTGATCGCCTGGTCCACCTGGGGATGGTAGAGCTCGAAGCTCTGAGCCTCCGCCTCCTTCAGGGACCGCTGCACTTTGACCTTGATCTCCTGCCTTTCCCGGACCTTCAACGCCTCGTCGTCCGCCTCCATGGACAGGATCTCCTGCCGGATGTCCACCCGCCTGTTAAGCGGGACCGCATCTGCCATTGTGATCTCATCTGCCGAGTCCGTCTTTGGAGGGGCTCTCCCCAAGACCGTGCCGTCCACCAAGTTGCGATCGGCCTGTGCCAGGGTATTACCGGGGCCAACGGCACCCAGGCTTCCCCATTCCCGCTGCTGGATCCAGGTCGGCTTGCCCTCCAAGATGAGCAGGTTGTAGGTGATGCCGTCCGCCTCATAGGTGGCCGAGGGTGCCTGGAAGGGGGCGAACTCCTTGCCGGGGCAGACCCAGCACTGCTTGGCCGCCTCTGGCCACCCCGTTCCGCATGCCTTGCACATGAACTTGTAGTCGGAATGACCTGCGTCGAGCCTGTTCAGGGTGCCGATACACGCCCTGTTCCTCTGGAACTGCGAAGCCCAGACCTCCTCCTGGCGGAGCTGGATCTTCATCGGGACGTACGCCTCCAAGATGCGGATCACCAGGTCCTCCGTGAGGTTCTTCCCAACAAACTTGTGGAACAGGGAGACCGCCTCCTCCATCGTGATGTCTCTCAGCAAGGTGGCCGCCGACGCTGGAAGGACTGGAAACAGGTCTGGGAGGTCCACCAGCTTGAAGTACCCGGGTTTTCCGTCCACCGGCACCAAGGTGACAGGTTTGTTGGCCTGAGACGTAGCCTTCTGCGAAGCCGCCACGAAACCCTTCAGTCTCTTCATGGGTGGCGTCTTGGTGCGGCCCGCTCCGTGCCGTCCGCATCCCCCATGTCCTTGTCGCCCTCATCGGCGGGGCCAGGGGCACCCAGGCCGGGAGTCGGTGTGGCAAATGCCACTCGGAGACGCTCCAGTGCACTGGAGAGGTCCTTCATCACATCGGTCGCCGAAGCTGACGGGGGCCTCGGGCTCGTCCAAAACCAAGCCGGCCGCCACTGCCGCCTCCCGTGTGCGAATGTCCTGGGCCTCCTGGCTGGCCATTTCAACCTCCTCCACGGTGAGTGTCTGGTCCTCAATCAACTCAAAGGAAGTTGCCGAGGTTGCCGAGGAAGCCATTGCTTGGTCGGGGTTAAGTTCGAAAATGCAAAAGATCAGAGTTTTTCAATCAGCTTGGGTTCCAGGAACCCAGAACAATGCTTGAGCCAAAATGGCACATGCCATTGTGGTCAAGCATTCCAAACACAGTTCATGTTTCCACATGCGTTTCAACATTAACAAAAAAAAACTTCAAGCAGTGAGACAGTCTGCCAAAATGGCCACACGAGGCGGTTTTGGCCACACGAGTGACCAAGCAAACATAGCTGAGATCTCACACGTCTCCTCTGTCCGAATTCCGCCAACCTTGAGAGATGGGATCGCCATCAATTTATCACTGAGTTAGTCAAAAACCAACGGACGGTTCGCTTCCCAAAAGTTCAAAGTCCAACAGCCAGGAGGATTGCGGATGTCGAAGAACATTGCCGCACTTATCTGTTGCTTTGACTCGCTTCATTGCTTTCTTTGTTCCTTTTTAGGCTTTCCTTCAGTTCAACCATAGAAAACCCTACCAGAGTCGTGGCCTTTTGCGGGTCGCATCCGTTTCGCGGCACATCCTGGTGCATCCCGAGCCACTCTGCACAGGCCAGCCAGAAGTTGGGCGCCACGTCCCACTCGGGCGCCGGGCCCACCAAGTGGTTCCCATCTGCCGGCCACATGGTGGGCCCGTTGAGCACCGTCTTCATACCTGCCACAACGGCCGTTGGGCCAACGGCCATCCGAAAGGTGAGCGGATCCGGATCCGATAGATACCTCACGCGTCGCTTTCTTTAGTCGAAATGGAAAACCCGGACTTGGCTTTGTACCACTTTAGGCTTAGGAAAAAGCATAGCTCATAGGTCTGACTTTGCGGACAAAGGCAGGTGGCAAGTTCAACCGGGGCACAGCCCCGCGATCTGGAAATGAGCGGGAGTTGCAAGTGAGCAAGATCGTGGGTGAGTGAGTTTCGCTGAACTGGAACTAGGCAGTGTTGGTGGGGTGCAAGGCCTGTAGGCCATAGACGCCCGCAGTCGGGCTGCCTGGCTCTTGCTTTCTCCGGTGGCGACCTATCATACAGGCGTCGTCGTGCGCCTGGGGGCTTTCCAAGGTACGTGACAGACCAAGGTGTCATCTGCTCGGTCGTGGCCAGTGACTGCGCCGTTGTGAGTGGGTGAGTTTGCCAAACTTGTTGGTTGAGGAAATGGAAAAGCTTTCGGCGTCCTCGAATCAGAGGCATGGCGTCGCTTGTTGGGCTCCCCAGGTCTGCTGTGTAACGATAGATAGGCTGGAGTTCCGCCCACATCGGGCAGGAACAAATAACCAGCGCTCTTGGACGCGTTCAAGAGCGCGTGTTGAAGCCCCAACTGGCGAGATGGCTGGGTCTCGGCTGAACATGCGTTGGGCCCAAGGAGTGGCATAGACTCCTAGCCTTCGGATCCTTCGGTCAAGAACTTTCAAACAAAGCCGGGACGCGTGAGCAATGAACTCCCCCGGGTTTGGGAGCACCCGCGAGTTCTCTGCAAGCCACAGACTGGCAATATGAATCCCAGATGGGAGGCCCTTCTTGGTTCCCCGCACTTCGAAACCGATCGTATCCAGAAGGCACATGTTTCAATTTGGTGCCCTGCCGCCTCTTGTCGGTAATTTGTAGCACTGCAAACCGAGATTCCACGCACTGCACAGTGACTTCAGAAAGTCCACGTCCATCGTAAGCAAAAAATACGAAGAGTTGTTTTGCAAGTTGGGACTAACCTTTGGCAGGCTGCTTGAAACCATTGGTTGTTGCGCTTTGTAGCCGAGCAAAGCTAAGAGGTTGCCAACAAGTCTTCAGTTCCTGAGATGCATGTTGTCCAAAACTCGTTAAAATGCAGCTCAAGCTCCCACCAATGTGCAACCCAGATGAACATGGGATGGGTCTTAACCTCGGTATTCAATTTACGGACCCTATGTTCGCATCAGAAAGTAGCTTACCATAAATCGACTCTCCGCAACATGGAACCTGCAACTTGCTTAGTTTAAAGTTTAAAGAAAAGTCAAAAGGAAGGCAGCATTTCTAAGAATTGCCCCTTCTGCAATACCACTGAAAAGCACTCCCCAACCAATTCTTCACTTGAAGGGCAAGGTTCCCCGGTAACTATAGCAGAAGTGGATACCAAAACGACACTCATGCCAAAAAGACCTGCCCATGAGTAGAGTGCCTCGGTCCTCCGGTACAGTGGTTGAAACAAGGGTACCCATTTTGTTGTGAAATCCATTTTAGTAGGGGAACCCTCCCCCAAAAAAGGGTGAAAGGGCACTACGGGGGGACCTAGGTGCTCTCCTCCCTTGTGCGGGCTGTCCCGCCTACTTCGGCCAGCGGGGGCAAAATCTCCATCGCCCGCTCCAGGTGCGGCATCAGACGGTCCACGTCGCCCTCAAAAAGGAAGTTGGCGTACCTCAGGGAGCGGAGTTGGCTTTCGGCGCTTTTTGGGAGCAAGCGGACCCCCCAAAATGGCGCGACGAAGTTTCCTTTGGCTTCCCTAAACCAATTGAAAGGATATGCCCCGTCCTCTCTTGGTTTCCCTAGTGGTTTCCCTTCACCAAAAAGGGGTCCACCGTTTGGGTGTCTCAAATTAACCCCCAAAATGGCTTGTTTCTTCTTTGCTTCCTTTTCAACCAACCCTTTCTTGGGGTGCCCTAACAAAAACACAGACCCATTTTGAGCAACCAAAGGCGACCCGCTTCCGTTCTGCCGCCCGCGCACTCGTTGGGCATCCCCGTCTTCCGCCACTCCTCTGGCGCCAACTGCATGGTCTCTGCGCTCTCGTACGGGCCCACCCTAGGAGTGGGGCGGCGGGGGGGGGGAACCACCACAAGGAAAAACACCACTTGGATGCAGTTGATTGGTGTTGAAAAACCCAAATGGGTGTGGCTCAAAATTAACAAGCTAGGGTGACGCACGTTTTAGTCTTTGGTTTCATATACCAAGGTGCCATTTTGGAACCTTTATTTTGAGCCACAGCCTAATGTGTCAAGCTGGGATTCGCCCCTACTAATCTTCATCTAACCGGGCTTTGGATATGGCTCAAGTGAAGAGTCAAAGTTCAATTCGAATGGTCTTGAAGCAATGGATGCTAAAAGCAGGACATTGGATCTTGTGTTGTTTTGCTCCGGGGCAATTCAGTGTCGATTTCCATCTGGCCGCCCCAAGATGGAAACAGCATGAACAAGCTGTCGGTTTTGTCGCGACCACCGTGAATTGGCAAAGGATCGGGACAAACATGTCACATATCTTCTCTCTTCAAGGAATGAGCCCATGCTGGGAACTGCTAAGAAAGGGTAAACATGAACAAACATAAACGGATTAATGCTACGGCCGCTTTAAATCCCGGGGTCGCTATTATAACGACAAACTAATTCGGAATTATGTGACTGTTTCGAGGTTCGCTTTGATAGCATGGCCGGCAAAAACGGGCAAACCAAATCGGGCAAAACAATGAGCAGAGCAAATCCGGGCAAATATTCCCAAACCATCAAATTTTAGATAACGTCCCTATTAAAAAAGAAAGAAAGATAGTATGGCCAAACAACTCACACAAACGCACAAGAGGCCCTGATTCTGTTTATTCTGACTGTTTCGTGGTTCGCTTTCATGTGCGGGGTTCAGATCAAAAAACCTTAGCGTTTATTTTAAAAGTGTGGTTCCTCCTAAGATCTTCCCAGCTCATCAAAGGTCAAAGCCTTAGCAACACCAAACTGAAGAATTGTCAATACTAAACTGAGGGCTGGCAATCTGAGAGCAAGTCTTGGCAAAACCAATTATAGAATTGGCAATACAAAATTAAGTACTGGGAATCTGAGAGTAAGTCTTGGCAATACTCGATTTAGAACTGGCAACACTCATTGAGTGCTGGGAATCTGAGAGTAAGGCTTGGCAATACTAAACTTAGAATTGTATTAGAAAATCAAAGTCGAAGCCAGGCCCCCCGAATTGCCCACTAAAGATGCCCCGCTGGACTGTTGGCACTGTTCCACAAAAAAAAGAAGTTAAAGCAGCCTCAACATTAACCCTGCCGACATGCTTCACTTGATTGGCCTCGGCACAATGCCCTCACGCATGGGCCGGAAGGTGGTTCCGGGATCTCTTGCAAAACCAGCCAACGTCTACCCACCAATGCTGACCCCGTCTTTCCGCTCCGCGCTTGCTGAGGCATTCAGGTGTATTTCAACAACCAAAAGGGGCTCACTCCATCGCCTCAAAGGTCCCCACCAACACCGAAGGGGTTCAGCTGGAAATAAATTCCCAATCCTTGCACGACTTACAAGCCAGAATATAGGCCTGCATAACATGCTGCTGCTGCAAAGAAAAAAAGGCTTAGAAGCACTGTGCTCCTCCGGAAAAAAAAAAAAAGCTTCTGCAATTCTACGTTTGTTGCGACCCGTGAGCAACAATACGCACAGAGTCACAAAAGCTGCGTGTCTGCAACGCAAAGCCAGCATAGAAGCGGCTGCAAATGGAAGCGTCGTGGTGGCCGGGGAAGAAACGCCATCTTCTTCAGAAAGCAAGGGACTTCAATTGACACCGGAACAGTCCCATGACTGCACCTGCCAAGCCACAAAATGCCATCGCGCTCGTCACGGACATAAAAGGAGCCCTTCAAATCCCGGAGAACTGGTAGCTGGTGACCATGCTTCTCGTGGTACTCCTGCGCTATGTCTGCTTCAGTCATACAAGCCTACGAGAAAGGATTGGAATGACCGGCCTGAGGTTTTCAGCATGTTTCAGACAGTGGCCACGATCCGGATCGTGGCCGTTGCCTGATTGCAGTGATTGCCAACGCAACCAAAAACGCTGGAACAACAAAGTCACCTCCATTCCTTTGCCTAAAAGAATGCACGCTGCCTCACGCAACCCCCGTTCCAGCTACCATGCCAGGAATGGTTGTTTGATCTGCCACTCAGGACTACTGTGGCATGGTCGTGCGCGAGGGCTTGCATCAGTAGCACTAGTTGAACAATCAAGAATGTCATTCATTCTTTGTCCCGGGAAGTTTGAGTGGGCCCCTTGGTTTTTGCTGGCCCTTTGCGATTTGGAAGCTGCAACAGAGCAACTGTCCGGTAGCAAGTTGTACATTTGGTTATTGCGAAAATATTGACATCTCTTTAAATGATAGTGGCTCACTGGGTCTGAAAGGAACGACCTCTGCAACAAAGATTTTCGCATGGAGACCGGTGTGGCTCCAGATCAAAGAAAGTAAACATGAATCAGAATGCAGGGTTGGCCAATCCTAATCCATAATCCCTAAAGAAAAGCCACTGCAAAGCAGGCTCTTTTCGTTAATGAAGGATCTTGCGGATTCCTTTAAACAGCAATTCGAAACTGCACCCTTTAGAAGGAGCATCTCAAAAAAAACTTGTTTCTAAAGTTGATATTTTGGTTCCCAAAGAATGTTCCCAAAAGTCCCAAAGCCTAAAGCCATGGAATCCTGAGGAACCTTGGTCGCTGTTCCCGGATCCGGATCGAGCGGATCGCCTTCCGAGCCGGTCCTTGACCTCTGGGATCGGCTCGGTGATGCAGTACCTGGACACGGATGCGGCAACCAGCGGCTGGAGGAAAAGGGAGACTACGGTTGAAGCACGTGCCCCCCGGGACCAGCTGAGTAGATTACGTCCTGTTAATAGGGGGGAAATCCAAAAGTGAGCCGCCCCCCACTTTTGGCAGTAAAACACCCCTTCGCAAAATCAGCCAGCGGTTCTGCGATTCGCTGTTTCCGCACAACATACCATGTTGCCCCCCAAAAAGCCCAGGTTTCACCCAATGCCCAACCCTGCCGACAACGGTGGCTCGGCCACCGCTGACGCAACCGCGCGCGTTTTCCTCCACTCGTAGAGGCCCAGCCGGTCCCCAGAAGCGCCAGGCGAGCCCGATGCCCCGGAAGACCAGAAACACCGAGAAGCACACCTCGAGGCGACTTGATCTCGCCGACCAAAAAAACACAGAAAACAGCGAGAGGAGCTGAGCAGCTTTCGCCTCCAGCCAAAAACACCATGTTGGATTCTGGCTCACAGTCAGGGAAATGTGAATTGAGTTCAGAAGAGATCCCAAGGGCCACTGTTGGACCTCGGTATACGCCCTGAACCTTTGGAACTTGACCCAAAGCTTCAGGACTGCAGAAGCAGCGACCTTTTGCAGTGGAGTAGAACGCACACGGAACCTCCCCTGCAAATTAACGGACGGTGCCAAGAGGAGTTTCCTCTATGTTCAAGTTAACAGGTGGGGAGTAATGCAGCAATCCAAGAGGGCGGAGTGTGGTAGAGTGTTCTGCCTACAGCGATGCTGAGGGCAAGCGCCAAGGACACGTCAGGTTCAAACAGGCTCAAGTCTCACGAATTTTCGGCCAGCAAGTGCGTCGCCTGGGGCGCCAAATCAAAAGACACATTTGCCCAAGTTGTTTTTTGGGGTTTCCAGCATAAAGCTGGAATGGATGAGTGTTCTTTTTTGGGGTTGGTCCATCTAAGGGAAATCACAGAAACACGGTTGCCATTGTGGTGTCCCTATTTTGAGACACCCCGTATATACCCTCAAAGCCCTTGACCCGCTTGGCAGTATCAACGCTCAATGGGTGTTAAAAGCCGGACATGCAAAGGGATCTTCCAAGCTCGGACTCTAGTTGGTGGCTGTTGGTCTTCTTGTGTGCAACCAAGGAAAGGCTATCTTTGCTTTGGTGGTGTTTGTGCAATGCGGTCATGTTGTCCTGCTGGTGTGTCAACATGAACTGCAATTGGAAACTTTGCATCTATTCATCTACATGTGGCTCGTCGTGCTGTATTGTTCGCACGACCAATTACACGCAGTGTCGAATCATTTGTGCCTGATGTTCTATTGCAGTGTGATGATGTCGTGAAATATTGGCAATCAACCTTTCTCCTAGTGCCTCAAACCTCTCTGTTGCCTGCTTGCTCAACCATTCTTCTATTGCATCTGTACACGCGAGTGTGTGTGTGTGTCTGTGTCTGAACACGTCTGTTGACATGCTGAATTCCCGTTTGCGTGTGCTTCGCCGGCGTGTGTTGCTATTGGTTACCTATGTGCTTGACGCGATGACTGCTGACGACACTGGTTTCAGGATTGCTGCCTCTTTTGGTGCTGATGTCGTTTCCGCTTGTTGAGGCTACAGTCTGATGTTCTCCTGCTACATTCTGCGATAGGGAACGTCGTCAAAACAACAACTGACCAGGCGCGATCAAGCGAGTAGCACCGTCAACAACATAAAGCAGCACTTCACTCCCACACGTGACCATAATTCAGGATTGAAACGATTGTCAATGATCTATTCCAACTTAAGTTTTGATCTGCTTGACAAACAGTTGCAAATGCAAAGATACGCACTTGCAAACCCACTACCAGAGAGCGATTTCCCACTGAAGTGCAAGGCACCCAAACACCCTGCAAAGATCCATTCAACACATCAATCTGCAGCAGCGCCAGTGTCGCCTGCGAGGGCGTCTGCAACATGGGCGTGTGTTTCTTGATTTGGTGTTTGGGGTTTTCTGGGGAAAGCAATGGGAAACCAAGCATTTTTCGGGTCCCCTTACTTTGACACATGCCCACATCAGCTCACAAGAGGCTCTCATTTGTGTCTCGAAAAGCATATGCGCCTTGTGGTCTCTTTCTCGGCGCCAAGGGGAGCCAAAAACATGGAATCTTGTAAAGAACAGAGGGGAAAGGACAATTAAAGGAGCCGGAGCCAAGTTACCTGCTTTCACAAAAAGACTCCTCACCTGGAGGCTGGGAAGGACCATCCTGGCTTACAAGAGGCCGTTGCGACTCGGAAGCTGCTGAACCGGAATGATTCGAAGACGCGCACCAAAGAGCCTATCCTGAAAGCATTGAAAGCAGCCCGCCCAGCTGTGCTGGAACATGGGAGCTGTTGTGCAATGCTTGTTCTTTTTCGTGTGATGATGATGATGATGCTGCCGCTGCTGCTGATGATGATGATGATGATGATGATGATGATGATGCACTTCAATGTCCTCTTAGCTGGTGTTTAAACGAAGTGCGTCGCGCGCAGCCAAGTCAAAGCTCTGGAAGACGATCTGGTAAAAAAATGCTCGCAGGGCTCATCATGAAAATGGCCTACAGGGGTACCGTAGATCCCAGCTTGATCATGATCAGAGGAGTAAACTATTAATATGATCAGGATGAGGGATCATGGCTTGATCATGACTAGAGGAGTGAACTATTGTATCAGTTTATATGTTGCCCTCATATCATAGAAACTGATTCTCTGCCACACCCATCACCCCGAGAGCAGCTCCAGTTCACTCAAAACGTGGGAGCATCTCTGTAGCAAGCCATAACCACGGGATAGCTCGGGAATGTCTGGCCAAGCACCCCCAAACGTGGGAATAAACGTGGGAATAAAACACCCACAATCAACATGGTTAGGCGTTGAGTTCTGGTCATGTAGCATCCTGACAGCGAGAGAGAGGGATGGAAAGAGAGGGGAAGGGAGAGAGACAGAGAGAGAGAGAGACAGAGAAAGAAAGAAAGAAAGAAAGAAAGAGGGAGGGAGGGAGAGAGAGAGAGAGAGAGAGACAAAGCGCGCACCATGCCAAAAGGCACGATCCCCAGTTGCGAGAATAAAGGGGCAATAGCTGGCATCCAACAAACAAAACTTATCTTGCCAAAAAAAACCAACAACATCAAGCCAAGTATCCTAGCGACTCAAACCCAAGTCAAAGATGGTATAGGTCGAGCTAGCGGAGCTCCTCCGCTCCCTCCCCCATCCACACCCCGCCAGCGCGGCAACTGCCATGGCCAGTGCCAAGTAGGTGTAGTCAGATAAGCCTGCGACGTGGAAAACTGGCCACAGCACAGTGAGGGAGCGATATTGGATCGTACACTCAAGGAAAGGAAAGCAACAGAAACTGCAACAGAAACTGCAACAGCAACAAAAACAACAATGACAACAACGTCGGAATTCAGGCACCCTGCCCAAGCCAGCATTTCCTGAAACAAAACAAATACCCGGTGTATCTCAAACAAACAAAGCTGCATTCGTGCCCAGGACAGACTTGCCTTCCACAATGAGCGGACCAACCACAGACTATGTATGTACATACTTCTGTGTAGTTGCTAATGTATACATATATATATATATACCATCAGGAGCCTTCGGTTGCCGTCGCTCAGCCACGACCCGTAGCCGTCGCTCAACCGCGACCCGCGCAGGTGGATAGCGTCGTCACGCCGGGTTGGGGATGGGGTTGGGCTTTAGCGTATGCTTCCCACTGCGCCGCCACATCATCAAGCGGCGCTGGGTGGAGAGGCTAGTAGCGCGGAAGAAGGCCTTGAAGCTGCGGGTGCTCAGGCTGGCCTGCAGCGGTAGTCAAGTGAAGACGTCTCGAAGGGAAGCCTTCAACGCAGAGTCTGTCCCAGCAGAAACAGTCTGGCGGGCGGGGCGGGACGGCCTGGTTGATGGCCCTTGGCGAACATAGGCTCCTGAAAGTGTGTGTGTGTGTGTATATATATATATATACTTGTACAAATACACATTTTAAGACACCACTGGTGCATGTCTCCCTGGGATAAGGATCAAGCTGTTTGTATGAGGCAGGGGTGTGTTTCAGTACTGCATATAACATCTATGCTTTTGTTGTTAGCGGTGGATCCTGACCCACGGGATAACACAAAAACGCATGCGCAACTGCCAGAATAAGCGGAACCCCGGATCAAGAAACACTTGGCTCGGGGTAGCGGGGCTCCCTTGTTACTGGGGATTTGAATCTCTTTTGGGGGCACAGCCCCCAATAGGACCGGCAACATTGATCTGGGTAATAACTTAGTTAGTCTTCGACCCCTTGAACAAGCTTGTTCAGGTCTTGCTTTGTGAGCGCAGAAAAGTTCCACATCTCCCACGAGGCTGAACAGCTTTTCGTCCACGCAAAAAACAGGCAGCCGAATGGCCATGGGTCAAAAGCCCGTACCCCCAGTGAACATCCCAATCCCCGCTAAAACCGACTAAAACGGGTGGTGCGCCTACCCCAACATAGGATCCCATTGGTTTTGACCCACAGCCAAATGGCGCCCGCCCCGGCGCGGAAGTCGACCGCGCCCGGCGCCCGGCCCGGCGCCTTGGAAGAGCCCGTCCCAGGTGAAGACGACCCCCGCCAGCGGCTGCAACAAAGCCACCAGGGCGATGAGCGGCGCCGCGGTCTGCTGCACCACCGGGTCGTTGGTGAACCTCACCCGGAAAATGGCACGAACACGACGCCATGGCGTGGTCAAAACGGCTCAACGAAACAGGTCAATTGGCTCATGGTTCCCTTAGGAATTATCATGGTAATGGAGCCTTACCAGGTGGATGAACATGCTCAAGCAAAGGGATCTTTTGACCTTGCGCGTTCCTTTTCCAATGCTAACTGCGCTTGAACAAAGGGGAGCTATGCTCCCCCCGCATGAACTCACCGGCTTAGGACGTCTTAGGTCCCATCTCTGCATGCCAAATCGTCGAATGTGTCCAGCGGGAGGGCTCCATGGATTCGATCGATGCATATGGCTCGGCACGTGTAACCGAA